ATGATATGTGTATTATTTATGTATGATTTTCTATATTTTGAGTACCCAATATGTGTAAGATATGTGTAGGATAAATCATTTTTTTACCAGTGACAATTATTTTATTATCCAATAATCCAACTTTTTTTTGTTTTGTAGATCTCTTTATGCTTTATAAACCAAAAAAAAAATTTTATTGAAATTGAATTGTTAAATAATAAGTTAATTGCAAAAAAAACTTTATTAATTACTATTTTATATATATGTTATAATACAATTATTTTACTATTCAATAATTCAATTTGCATAAACTTTTTTTTTATTTTGTAATCCTTCTTTATACTTTATAAAACAAAAAAAAAATTTATTGAAATTGGACTTTTAGATGGTAAAATAATTGCAAAAATAACTTCTTTAGTGTTCCGCATGAATCGATTTGTGACACAATGTAACACTGATTGCTCCCGAATAATAAAAATGTATTTTGTGAATATCTTTTGATCTAGCAGTCCGATTTCAATGATATTTTTTTATTTTGATCAGGGCAACAAGACCTATTGATTTAAAAAAATCATCAAAATTGGATCACTGGATTATGAGATAATAATTTTTAGAAGTCGAATTGAGTCTGAATTGAGTCTGAATCGAATCGAATTTCAGAGGAGAAATTTGATTCGTGCAGAACATTAAACTTTTTAATAAATAAATTATATATTATTTACTATAAAAGATATATTATTATTATAAAAGTACATTGTAACACCTAATTGCAGTATCTGACCTCCACTCACCTACTAAATTACATAATTTCTGGCATGCTCCTTATAAAAAAATTTTATATAGTTTACTTTTAAAATTTTTTGTATTATCTTAATTTTAGATTAATATCATATAGATTTAGATTTATATGTATTTTATAAATATACACCTTTTTTAAATGTATTCTTATACCTGATCCTAAAGGGAGATGCATTTATAAAAAGTTGACTATATATAACATAAATATCTTTTTTAGATATATTTTTAGAAAAATAGTTGAGAATCTTATTTATTGATTCAATATTTATTTTTTTTAAGATCAATTCTTCTATTTAAATTCATAAATAATATTTAAATACTATTTATATAATTAATCAAATAGAGTTTAAATTTAATAAGTAAAATATTATTAAATAGAAAAGGGCTTTATTTATTATACAAGATTCCTTGTTATAATATTTTTTTTTTTTATTATAATTTCTAATAAAGATTATCAGAATTATAAGGTAAAATTTATATATAAAAAATTTTAAAGATCTTACTATACAGTATATATAGATAAATAAATTAAAAACAAAAAAAAAATATTTTGATTTTTTTTTAAAATTAGTTAATTAATAAAATAACTAATAAATTTGTAAAAATCTTTATTATAGATAAGCTGTATTTTAATAAAAATATATATTTTGATGAAGAAGTTTAAACTGAGTTTTTAAAGATGATAGTTTATAGTTCTTTTAAGGGACATTTAAAAGAGTTTATAACAATATGTTGAATTCTAATATTTCTAATCAAATTACTAAAAATAGCAAAACAATTATATAGAATTCTAGCATTTTTTTTTTCTAAATATAAATACCTATAGTAAATGAAATTTTATTTGTATGGATGCAAAGAAATTTTTGAAATATTTTTTTTAACAAAATATTATGTTTATATTTTATTTAATTTTACATGGAAAGGTTGAGCAAATTTCTACCAGTTTAGTACTTTATATTTCATTGCAGTTTATGGAAAATAAAAGATTGAATTAATCAAAAAATTAATTTATTTATTTTTATATTATTTTTAAAGTTAAATATAAATAATAATATTTAGTAATTATAATAAAACTTTTGCTTAATTAATACTAAAACTTTTAGTAGTTATCTTTCTTTTGAGATCTTATAATACTTATTAAGAAATTAAATAATTTTATTAGTTATTTTTTTTTAAATCCAATCAAATCAAATTAGATATAATTAAATAAACCGAATTTGATTTGTAATTTAAATTAAATTAGGTTAATAATTTTGGATAACCCAAAATTTGGGTTTAATTTATAAAATCAATTTTTATAATAAAAGAATACCTTTTTTTTATTATACTGTTACATGAAAGATTGAAAGATGTAATATTGCAGAATTTAGAAAAAAAAATTTCGGAGTTATCAAAAGTGGGAATTACGTCAATCTTGATATTAGAAAAATTCATTTTAATATTCCAATATGAAGATCACAAAAAAAAAAGGTAAATTTTATTATATGGCTAGATTTAGTTTTGTTAAACCATGCTTGATCAGATCAATTGTAACGTTTACTAATCAAAAAAAAAAAAAAAAGGAAAGAAAAAAAAGAAAAAAAAAGAAAAAATTTCAAAATTTTGATTTATTAAATTTCGTAGATCGGACCATATGAATAATATGTAAAATTATATAATTTTCGGAGAGTACCATTTTCAGCATATTCGAATATTCTTTTGATTTTCTACAAATTAATTAATTTAAATTAATTAATCTCAAATTATTATTAAAATGAATAATAATAGAACTAATATATAATCGCAAAGTTAGGTTAGAATAATTGTTAATCAATCATGATTTCCAGATGATAAATACTTCAATTTATTAATTATTATACATTTAATACATTTAACCATATTTGTCATTTATATACGTATATATCATATATTGAATTCAAGATTTAAATAAACAGGTTTTAATTTCTCGTATTTTATATTAATACTAATAAGGATAGTAACAAGGGCAAAACCTAAAATGGATAATAAGCAGGGAGTGGGGAATGTCAAATTGTCATTATAATGATGATGAGTCAATCCAGTCATTCGAGTCATTCTTTAATGGTTAAGATGAATCATAATGATGTGCATCTCCTAAAAGAAAAATTATTCTATATTAAATCACAACCATTTTGTTGCCATTTTTCAATATTATATAATCATATTACAAACTTACTAAAAATAAATTAAGTATACATTTTCTCGTAATTACTATATAAAAAGTTACATTCGCTTAAATAATAATCCTAAAATTTCATCTCATTGTTTATCAATCACTTTATTTCCAATTTTGGGGTTGAATCTTAAATTTAACGGTTCAATAATTTGACCGAATTATGAACGAACAAAAGATGATTAATCTAGCAGCTTATGTATATAAAATAAAAAAATTTCTTGGCGATTATTAAAAAAAAAAAAGTAAAAGATTTTCCCAAGTAAAAAAAAAAAAAAAAAAAAAAAGATATTATTTCAAATATTTTTGAATATCAAATATTTCAGAATTTCGAAAAGAAGCTCTTTTTTTTTTTAACCAGTACATGTGATTGTCATCCAGCGTGTTGAAAATAACTTATTTTCATTGGAAGTTCAAAGATAAGACTATTAAAAATTGTTGACATCATCATGAACTCAATAATATATATTTGTTACACGAGAAAATTCTTACAATCACAAATTTTACTAACTATACCAATTTTAAGCAAGTTATTATATAATTATCACAAGGTGTGTTTGTTTGTATTAGATTTTCACTTAACATTTTATCATGTGATGATTTTTAAATACAAACAAAAAAAAGCCTTTCTTCTTTTTTAAATTAAAAATTCAAAGATTTTTTGAAACTAATCCCAAAGAAAAATAAAAAGTAAAAAAAAAATTCATTATTAAATCGTTTATTCATTTCATTATTCATTTTTAAAATAGTTTTAATAATATATTTTAATTATCAATGCATCATCTCACTGCATCTTTTTTACTATCATAAAATTATTATAAATATTTTTAATAAAACCAAACGGGTAATCCTACACGGCCATCTTGGCATATATTGGAATAGTTGACCAATTTATAAGCAAAGCCAAACAAAGGCAAAGCTTTAGGCAAAACATAAATAGAAGAATAAACTTGAAATATTACGTGAAATTTTTATACCGGATAATATTTTTTTGTTATCCGTGTTATTCATCACCTTTTTCACTCCCCGGAATCAATCGGATTAATGTATTACAATTTTTTAGTCTTATAATTTTCGGTAAATACATTTAATCAATCAGTAACTTAATATTATACCTCATTGTTATTATTATAAAAATATTGTTTTCTGCTTAACAACCTGGTTCCATAAACAGGTAAAATTGATTTTGTGGCTAAAAAGTGTTGCATTATACAATATTTAAAAAAGGAACCGAACACCTAAGCATGGCTTTCTTTTGAATTGTGTAACATACCATTTTTTTTTGAACTCGTGTTACTCTTTTTTTTCGATATCAAAATCTTTTGGTGTACAAAACTTAATAATACCCCCCATATTTTTTTCTCCACTATATTTTTTTCTCTTTCCGGTTTCCCTTTCCTTTCTCTTGATAGTTGACCTTTTGGGACCGTCACCGCCCAAAATTAGTTTTATTTACAAAAAGTTCTTTGTTCTTTCAACTTCAACTTTCACGCTTTTTTAACGTTATAAAATTAAATAAATAAGGGAACAAATTTGTGAGTAATAATTATTCTCGTGTTTTCTTCTTATCATTTTCCTTTTTTTTTTTTTCACAAATGATACGAGAACTCTCACAATAAATTAATTCATATATTCTTTCATTACAACTAGCGATAAATATAACATCTGGTCATTTTCCAATTCCTCTTCTTTGCGTAATATAAATTAAATTTTTTGTTTATATATTTTGTTTCAATAGACTTATATGAGAACTTTTTCGCTTCACGTAATACCGGTTTTTGTTGTTGAACTACTCCTTCTATATAATTTATGATATTATTATAATATAATTGTTTCACTTCTTTAATCGATATTCCTTTTTTTATGATAAAAATCTCCTGAATGATCTCATTCTTGCTCTGACGTTATCGAGAATCATAAAAAAGATTCTCTAAACCACACAAAACTGATTAATTTATCTCTTCAACGTATCAGCAAAATATATATAAAGTATATATATATATATATATATTTCTTTCGGTCAGCTAATAATAAAAAAAAAAAAAAAAAAAAAAAAAATTATTAAGATATGGGAATACGACATTTACTACACCATGTTTTCGAGTTAGTAGCTCCAACTACAGCATTAAGTGCTATATTAATCCTCTTTTTGGGACCTTTAATCTTTCCTCGTGCATATATTTGGTTCTTGTTAATATACTATGTATCGTATTTGTTCATATCTGTAAATCATTTTTTTAAATTTTGCCATACTGTGCGAAATATTAAGAGAACAATTCGAAATTGGAACGCGTCTCAAGAACAATCGCCAGCGCGGCATAATTATTCTAAAGAGATAGTTAAAAGTACTGCTACAAGTAATGGAAGGATAACTCCAACGAGAAAAAATGGTTATTCATCCGTATCTACGAGTGATGATCTCGATAGCGATATCAGAGCTAGTGAAATGGAGAAAGCAGAAAGGTTGAATGATGCTTATTACATTCATGCTTTTGTTATTCCAAATTATGATGAACCTGAACCTTTATTAAGAGATACTATTAAGAGATTAGAAAACCATAGGTTTATATATATTTTTTATTTCATTTAAATAACTTCATTTTGCATTTGAAATTACTTACATATGTTTTTTTTTTAAAAAAGGAATGCAACCACAAATTATGTCATTATATTGGCTATGGAAGCATCAGAAGTTGATCATAAAACAAAAGCTGATAATCTTAAAAGAAATTTTGATGGTTCTTTTTTTGATTTTATAATTACAGTTCATCCAAAAGATTTACCTGGTGAAAGTCGAGGCAAAGGAAGCAATGTAGCATATGCAGCTAGAACTGCTTGTGACGAATTGGCTCGTAAAAGGATCGATAAAAGACGCGTCATTTTTACAATCACGGATTCTGATTCTGCCATTCCAGAACTTTATATTCGTCATGTGGAAAAGGCTTTCTCTGAATCTGATGATCCTTTCGCGACAATTTGTTCACCTCCAATCTTTTTCTCGAGAAATGCTCTTAATGTACCTGCCGCTGTACGTGTAACGGACATCATGTGGTCTATTATGGTCATGCAAAATTTGAGTAATCGTAAAGGATTAGCATTTCCTTGTTCAACATATAGTTTAAGCATGGTAAAAAAAAAAAAAATTAATTTTTTATTAAAATTTTTTGTTTATTTTTTTATTTTATTTAGAAATGATATTAATTTTTTTTTTAATTAATAATGATAAAGGTTCTCGCTGAGCAAGTTGGATTCTGGGATACCAATGGAGATGCAATCGGTGAAGATTTACACATGTGGCTCAAATGTTTTTTCAAAACCGGAGGGGTTGCAAGGACAATTCCTATATATGTTCCTATAAATCTTACGAATGTTCAAACAACTGGTTATATGTCAAACATTTATGCGCGTTGGGTTCAAGCAAAACGTCATTATAATGGGGTTGCTGATGTTGCTTATTCGCTGAAATTCGCTTTCGGGAACCACGATCACCATTCAGATTCAAAATCACTTTTGGGATCTCCGATGACAACGTGTCTTATGTCATGTTCATTTGTTGATAAACTTACCGTTGTATTTCACGTCTTAGAAGCCCACATGATTCCTGCGACTTCAGGATGGATCATGTTTGCGGCCGTTCCTTTTACACAATTACTTATATCCGCTTATTCACCTATATTATATTATTATCCAAGTTTTCAGAATCCAATTGTCACATCAGAATTTTATGCTTATATGTTTTATCTTATACAAACAGTTAGTATATTTCTACCTATGCCTTTATTAATGTGTGCTGTATTATATGAAGGTTTACATAAGACAATAGATCTTGATTTACTCAAGAAGAGTTCCAGCGAAACTAGAACATGGAGATATTATATGGACTATGCTTGGCTCCCCGTGAGCGCTTGGCTATTCCTAACTTTGCCAAGTACAATGGCTTGTGTAAGAAGGTTAACAAAAAGTGAGGAAAAATATGTGGTGGCAGAAAAAATATTTTCGGAAGAACTAACGCGTTAACGAAAAAAAAATGATTTTTTTAATGAAATATTAAAATAATATGTAATGTAAAATGCAAATTGAAAATTTGGCTATTTCTTTTTCATGAAAAATAGAATGGTACATATTTGAAGAGCAAATAAATGGGACTTTGATTATTTATTTATAATTTGCTTGGTATTAAATTTTTTTTTTTTTTTTTTTTTTTTTTT